TCCATAAGGCCTTAAAAGAGTTTCTGACTGGCTGTATCAATAGCGTTTTTATACAAGTGACTGGTGTCAGCCACAGCTACATCTCCCAAGGCTGCAAGTTATCTACGTTCTGACATTGACCTTACCCTAGCCTTCTCTCCTCTGACCTGCTGTAGGTTATCTGTGGCTGCTTCCCTCTCCTGAATATGGGGCACAAACCCAGTTCTCTATTTTCTCTTCTGTTGGTACTCTTTCTGACTCAGTGCCCTTCCTGACCATGTCCAAAGCAATCTCTAGCAGCCTCTGTGTATTTCCTCCTCCCCATGCCCTGCTCTCTCTAAAGGAATAACATTTTTAACTGAAGTTACTGTTGGTCTGATATCTAAACAAATCCCAATAAACCCATGCATGACATTTTTATTTCCTATTGCTAAATTTTTCTATTTTTCTATATTCTCCTTTTTAAATTTCTTTTTGAGACAGTGCTTCTCTATTTACAATCCAGCTCCGACTAGAGCTGTGGCACACTTACATTACCTTACCAACCTAACTCTCTCAGGAGTTGAGGCAGCCATATTGCTATTCTTTTGTTTAAGCTGCAGATGATGATATAAAGAAAGGAACAATGGATGAACAACCCACATGAAGTTTATTTACCAGAAATGCAGGGAGAGATGGGGCTGAGTTGTCAGCTAACCCAGAGGAGCCAAAAGAAGGGAGGAGAGTAGGAGGCAGGACCTTTTAAAGGGGATTTTGCATATGCGCACTGGGGTTTTGCACCTGAGCAGAGTCCTCACACAGGTCCCAATGCATGGCAGGTGTGTGCTCCGACATTAGGGGGCATGGTCATCCAGGTGTATGGTTTTTACACATATCAATACTCCCAAGGCTACCTTGACCTTGGCGCTGGCCAGCAAATCCACTGGTGATCCGTCAGTGTGTATTCCCTTCTTTCTTAATCTTGGTGAGCACCTCCACTATGTAGCATCCACTGCTACTACTTCTTACAGGTTCCAGCAAGGGATATGAAGATTAATAAAGACAAAACAGCTGGTCACTCTTGAAAGAAAAATGCCAATTTTATGTAGGGGGTTGTTGACTTCTATAGCATTGGAAGTTCCCGAGGAAGTAACTCAGTTCAAATTCCAAGCTCTTAAGACCCTTGCCCTATGCAGATAATCTGCATATTTGTAAACAGGCCTTGTTGGCAAGAGGGAAAATAGGAAATATCACCTGGCTGTAGGCAGCCAGTAGCTCCCCAGGTGTACTGCTGATCAACCCTAGATAAGAGAAGAAAGCAGCCTCCCAGGGGGTCCCCATACCAAGGGCCACTGCTGGTCATGGCTGTCTCAGTGGAACAGAACCGGTCCCTGGCCAGAGCCCCAGCTCACCCCTGAGCCATTCGCTGCATGCTGTGGGAGCGCGGGCACGTGTGGAGCCTGGCTGCTCCCTACTGCGTGGCGGAGCTCACCAAGGGCGCCAGTGCCCTATTCCCTGCATCTCAGCAGCCTGGCCGTGAGGGACCTCCGGTGACAGGCAAGCCAAGCATCCTGCAGCCTCTCTCAGGCCAGTGCCAGCGGGGTTGGCCCCAGAGCACAGCCATGTCCCACTGTCTTGGATCTCAGCCTG